TCGTACCCCTCACTATGTTTTAATATAGTTTTGGCTGTTTATTAATTGCCTTTTTTGAGTTTCGTTTCTCATCTTTATTTGTAATTAAATAAGCGAATTGGAAGTGACTTTTGTGATATTTTTCTTTATTTTTTCTTGTTTTTTAGGAAATTCTTATTTTAGGAATTAAGGTAAGCAAATCAGAAATAACTTTTAGATGGTTTTTAACTTTTTTTTCTTGATTTTTCTTGGAAATTTCTTTTTTCAGAACTAAAATAAGCCTTTCAAAAATGACTTTTGGATGGTTTTTAATTCTTTTTTTTTTATTTTTCTTAGAAAAACTATCTTTTCAAAGCTAAGATAAGCCTTTCAGAAGATCTTTTGGATGGTTTTTAACCTTTTTTTCTTTATTTTTCTTTATTTTCTTTAGGAATACATTAAGATAAACCTTTCAGAGGTAATATTTAGTAGGGTTTTTAACTATTTCTTTATTTTTTCTTTACTATTTTTAGGAATACATTAAGTTAAACCTTTCGAATGTGGTATTTTGTGATTTTCTAACTGTTTTTTTTCTTTTTTCTTTATTTTCTTTAGAAATACATTAAGGTAAGCCTTTTGAAAATAATATTTTGGTAATTTTCTAATGTTTTCTTTATTTTTTTTTTTACTTTTTTCTTTTTTTAGAAATACATTAATGTATTCTTATTTTTTCTTTATTTTTTTTTTAGAAATACATTAAGATTAGCCTTTTGGAGATGGAATTTTGGTAATTTTCTTATGTTTTCTTTATTTTTTCTTACTTTTTTTAGAAATATATTAATGTATTCTTAGGCGATTTCAAATTTTATTTTACTAGTAAATTGGCTGATATATTGTATTACAGTATAAATTTAGACATAAACTCAAAATGTATTGTATAACTTGAGTAACTGGATGAATTTAGAAAAGCTAAAAAAATAGTGGCTGATATGGCTTGTAATTTCGAAAAATATTCCGGTTATAATTATAACATTATTATTAAATTTCACTATTATTTAATTAATTATTATTCCATTGTTATGAGAATAAATTATAAAGAAAGTGTGAATTTTACTTCATCTCGTAATTTTATGAAAAATAAGTTTTAATAATTCACAACAATTTAATTTTATAAATTACTATCCGCAAAATTATCAAAAAATGCAAAATGATTTCTTACTTTTGAGTAATAACCAAATAGACCATTATACACAAAATATTCAATCAGTTATGAATGAAAAAGTAATTGAAATTGATGATTCAATTGACAATTAGATGAAACTACAGAGGGTGGACAAAGTTTCCGAAAAACCTCTGTAAACGCGAATTAACAATAGTAATGTCATATGACTGCAGTAGCGTACTGTGGTCATATGATGCTCGAATGTTTATTTACATATTTAATAATAATAAAAAACACTTGTTTTCGTTAATTTAGCAAATTTCTTTCTCTAAAAAACAAATAAAAATGGGTAAAAATAAAGAACTAACCGCAGAACAATGTGGAGCTATTATTTACTGTCGCAAACGCAGTGATACTTACGAGACTATTGCAGAGACTGTTAACTGCGGAGTGTCAACTGTATTTGACACTATTAAACGATTTTATACCACAGGATCAATAGAATCAATATCTCATTCTAGACGTTCGCCTTTGATTACGATTCCCTAACACAATCATCTAAAACGAACTGTGATGAACGATACAACCAAAAATCGTCGTCTATGCGCTGCTGGAGTACAACAACTTTGAAAAAAGAAGTCCGGACAAGATGTTTCGACCTGGACTATTAGACGAACCCTCCATTCTGTTGGATTGAAAAGCTGTGTTGCACGAAAAAAACCATTAATTTTATCAGCGAACGTGAAAGCATGCCTCGCATGGTGTTTAGACCACCAAAGCTAGACCAAAGCGAACTGGTCGAAAGTCATGTGAAGTGATGAATCTACATTCTCACAATTTCAACAAAGCCGCTCTAGCAGAGTGTGGCGGAAACCAGAGGAGGAATGGGATTTATCATGTGTTTAGCTATGGTAAAATACAGCCTTAGCCATATGTATTGGGGTTGTTAATCAAGAAAGGGTATCGAGCTGATTGTTCCACTATCTGGAACAGCAACTGGTGACTCACATGTCACCATTCTTCATAAGTATGTTATATCAGCCATGAAAAAACATTTCCAAATAATAATGGCTGGTTTCAAGAGGATAATGCCTGATCACACAAATCGAAGGTTGCAATGGCTTTTCAAACGGAAAATGGCATTCGTACATTATCTTGGCCAGCTCAAAGTCCCGATTTCAATCCAATTGAGAATCTTTGGGCTGAAGTCAAAAAAATATTCGCACATATAAAAAACTGCCATCTAATCTCGTTAAACTTGACCGATACGCTAAAAAAGCGTGAAAGAAATTTCCAAGCATACTATCGAAAATCTAGTCGATAGTATGCCACAACGAATTCAAGCAGTAATTGCAGCAAATGGAGGCCCAACTAAGTATTAGTTACTTAGTACAAAATGTAGACCTTTACCTAATCTAAATAAAATATTAATTGACCTTTTATGATTTATGCTAAAATATTTTAAGTTTTATATTGGGTGAATAAATTTTCAGAAACTTTTGTCCACCCTCTGAAAATGACAATTGATGATGAACCAGTTGATGATGATGATGATAATACTATTGATGAAAGTGGATTTGACAGTTCACATTATACCACTGAGCTTTAGACACATTCTGAAATTAATAAACTTCTAGACATACTGGCTGTAAATTGGGAATTATATAAGTTCAATAAGACAAAATTCTATGCATCTGCTGCTATTAAATTGGGAAGGAATAAGACAGGAAAACAGGTGAAAGGAAAACTATTTAACCTTAGAACAAAATATACAAATGAAAAGAAAGAAGTAGCTGGTAAGGTAACTTCTAAGTGATCTTATTTAAATAAAATGGAAAGTTTATTTAGTGGCAGAGAAAATGTGAATCCTGATTACCTAATTTTGGCTTTAACTTCAAATGAAAAAGATGAGATATAAGTTTTTATTTATTTATAAATAAGATAACGCATATAAATTATTAATCACATTATAATTTTTTTTAGCTTGCGGTCTATAATAATGAAAATAAAGGAAAAACTAAAAAAAAATAAATGATACTGATCAACTGTATCTAGATGAATTGCGTTATTTATGAGAAACGAAAATAAATCTTTAAAGATGAGAGATGATTATCTGAAAAGTCGATTAGAATTTGATCGAGAAAAGTTTGAAAAAGAATTTGAAGAAAAAACAAAGGAAAGAAAAAATAAAATGGATTTAGAACATGAAAAATTAAGAATGGAAAATAAAAGGATGACGAAGCAAATAGAACTGGGTCATCAATTACGAATGGCAGAACTCGAATTTAAATAAAAATATAGAGTAAATTACAGGTCAATTGCTTGAACCGGTTGATCATATTATCAAAGTTGTTTAAATTAAACTATCAGTCAGGTTCAGTTTATCTGAAACCTAACCTTTCAGAGCATTTAGCTTAAGTATATATGAGCAAAAGATAATTAAGTTACTTTAGTTTATAATCTCATTTTATGATAATGAAAAAAATAATAAAATAATTCATTAAAATTATTTTCTAAAAAAAAGAAAATATTTTAGTATATATATATTATTATAAAATGATATGATTTTTCCGAATTTATAATTAATTTTTTTTCCTAATAAATTTTTATTTGTTAGAATTTAATATTCTATTATCGTCGCATTTATATTACTGTTTTTTATTATATTTATTTTTTATTTTATAAATATAAAATTTTAAAAATTATTTGCTTTAAAAAAAGAAAAAATAATATAATTTTAAAGATATATTTGTAAAAAAATCATTAAACGAATTTTCAGTTAACAAGTTATTTTAGATTCAGCAGACCCATATTCGTTAATCTTCCAAGTTAGAACTTTGGCATCAAGAACCTGACTTGTCAAGCTGAAATTTAACAAATATTTTTGAAAGTAAATTTATCCCTAACAGTACTAATGGAAAACAGGTAAGGTAAGAATATCAAAATTTATAAATTCGTAATTATGGCAGAATAAAAAGATTAATTTATATTTTTTTTATTGCAACAGACATTGATATGAACATTTCCAGTTACTACTCGAGTCCAAACCATTAAAAGTGAGAAGATTTGTATCGATTATTATTATGATAAACTGAAAGAAGATAACACAAAGATTTGGACTATAAATTACAATGATAGGACAAGCGATAAGTTGTGCTATCTTATTCCCTTTTTGGTAGCATTAGGAAACAAAATTAATGTGAATCAGGTTGATCAGTTTGACCTAAATGATCTAGATCAGAATCCTACTAGCATGAATTATAAAATAACTATATCCAACAAATTTTGACGAATCTTTTTACATTTGTTGGATCTAATGGTATTTCTAAAGGTAATATTCAAATATCATTATTCCTTTTAACAATATTGTGGAGAATTAATACTATATCAATAAATTTTGTAGCAAGCTTAGTATTTCTATTTCTTACTTCTTTTAAAAACTCAAACTGATTTTTTAATCTACAAAATACCTGTTCCATCACAACACGAGTTTTGTTATATTTTTTATTAAATAATCTTTGTTGACCAGTAAGTACTTTAAATGAAGAAATGCAGTTTTTTGAAATTGGATAAGTGGAATCAGTAAGGACATAATCTTCACTTTGAAATAAAATATGTTGTTGAATATATAAAGATGAATTAGAAAAAACTTTAGCATCATATACAGATGCTGGCCATCCAATATCATAATTAATAAATTGACCTAAATGATCTATAACACCTTGCACATGATTTGCTAGGTGCTTCATATAAGTTAATGTGAGTTCCATCAACAACTCCAATTACGTTAGGAAAACCTTGCATTTGTGCAAACCCATTAATAACTCATTTTCTGTATTCTCTATTTGGCCAAATAACATATTGAGAACGTAATGATTGAATAGCAATAATAACTCGTTGTGTATATTTAACAACTGATCCTATTGAAATACCAAATTTTGACGCAATATCCCAAATAGTAAACTTTCTACCTAACAAAAATAAAGTAACAGAAAGTTGTAATTCCACTGATTTTTGTTGATTGCTAAAAATTGTATGACCTTTAATCATGTTTACAATTGTCCAAAATGTTTGTTTATTCATTAGTAAATTTGCTCAAAATCTTTTTCATCATATTCAAAAAGTACGTATTTATATCAAGCATCAGATTTAGGCATATGATAAAAAATGGGTGATGTATTACATAAGTATCATTGAGAAATGATATTTGTGATAATCTTTTCATCTTCACTAGAAAATTCTATATCATTATCTGAGTTATCCGAATCATTCTCACTACTTGATTCCACAATATTTCTGAAAGATTGAAGTTGAAATTGACGATTCATATTGCAATAGAAGAAAAAAAATATATCAAAATAAGATAAATAAAATTTACGAAAAGCCTAAATGGAAGAAAGATCTGAGAAAAATGCTGATTTATAACTTCAAAAATTAAAATTAACGAACTTTAATCATATTAATTTTATTAAAAATAATATTAAATCTAACTCGTGGCTTTATAAAAAATAATGATAAGCTTATTATTACAGATTATATGAATATCATAATCTTATAAATGACGAAATAATAAAATAATAATAAATTAAGGTCATTCATTATCTTAAAAAAGATGAAAAGATATGATAAAATAATAGAACAAATTAATTAATTATCTCTCAAAATAAATATTCTTCAAAAAAGATACAAAAGAAAAAATCAATAGCTTTTTTTAAAGATGGTAAAAAGGACAAAAAGCAGCTTGGCAAAACCATTTAAAGTAATATAATCATTTAAATAATAAATACTTTTACTCTATATTAAAAAAAATTATGGGTTTATCTTAGTTTTTACTAATTCTAGACTTAAATCTAAAGTTTATATAGCGAAAGAATAAATGTTAGAATATGTTCGATATATAATTATAACTGGAATATTTTTTGAAATTACAAGCCATATCAGCTACTATTTTTTTAGCTTTTCTAAATTTGTCCAGTTACACACGTTATATAATACATTTTTAGTTTATGTCTAAATTTGTACTGTAATATAATACATTAGCTAATTTACTAGTAAAATAAAATTTGAAATCGCCCCTTTATTTTTTCTTTACTTTTTTTTAGGAATACAGTCAAACCTTGATATAGCGAACCCTTGATATAGCGAATTTTTAAATCAAATATATTAAAATTATCTTTACTATAGTGAATTGGCCAATTAAATTCTTTAAAAAATTCGTTATAAGCTTATAACGAAGTTGATATCCAGATCCTAAAATTCATGATATCAAGAGTTCACTGTATATTAAAATTAGCCTTTTAGAGATAGTTTTTAATGCATTTTCTTACTGTTTTCTTTATTTTTTCTTATTTTTAAAAAATCAAATATATCTTTTTCGAATAAAATATAATATAATATATATTCTTTTTGAGTAATTTATTATATAATAATAAAATAAAATTATAAATCATAAATAAACAATAATGAGTTTTATTAGTTTTGATCTTCTAATTGATTTTTGCTAATTATTGATTGATTTTAAGCTGATTTATGTTGAAATTTGATCAATTGCTGATTAATAGCCAATTTTCTATTTATTCAAAGCTGATTTGTTAGTAATGATTAACAGAATTATATTATATTTTGGCCAACTTTTGATACTTTAAATGTAACAAATTGTATTATTTTGCCAGTGATATATCAAATAACTACCAATTATTAATGTCAAATGTTTATTATATAGAGCAACATCAGTTATAACTAAAAATACTGATTGTTTTAGTAATGATCAGCAAAAATTAGATTTATATTTCAGCTAACATTCAATACTTTAAAAAAATGACAAAATGGACTATTTCGACTAGTATAAACTTATAAGGTAAGATACTAAAATTTAATTTAAAGTATATAATTATTCTGATTTAATTCCAACATTAGATGGTAAAATCTCTTATTGCTTCATGAATGAATCTTAAATCTGATGGTAAGAGAAAGTTTAAAGATGGGTTAATGCCAAATAAATCAATGTAGTCAATGTATCTTCCAAATAAAGAATATCAAATTAGTTTTAGAAGAACGTGAACTGTAGTCTCAAATACAATTGAAATATATCTGTGATAATTTCAAAAAAACACTCTCCAATTTCAGATAATTGTTATGCAGTTTGTATGCTTTCACTTCAACTGGATTTTTTGGCACAAAAACTATTGATTAAAGAGATTATTGAAAAATTAGTGACATAAAGTTATATTTTATCTAAAGATTCATTGTGAACTTAATTTTATTGAAATATTCTAGGATGTAGTTAAATGATATACCTGTAACAATTGTGATTATTCATTTAAAGTATTAGAAAAAATTGTTCCAGAAATATTAAATTCAGTTTCTTTAAAATAAATAGATAATACAGTCAAACCTTGATATAGCGAACTCTTGATATAGCGAATTTTTAAATCAAATATATTAAAATTACCTTATTATAGTGAACTAACCAATTAAATTCTTTAAAAAATTCGTTATAAGTTTATAATGAAGTTGATATCCAAATCCTAGAATTCGTTATATTAAGAGTTCACTGTATTACTAAAATTAATATTTAATATTTTATAAAGAAATTAATAATTATTTTTAATTTTGCAGGCAAATTTGCCTGCTAGACAATCTAAGAGATAGCTAGTAGTAAAGGTTTATTTGAGCCAAAGTGCTGAATTATTTGATGTTGTTTTAATAATGGTTGAATTAGAGTTTTCTGTTTGTGAGTATAATTTATTTATTCAAAAGAAAGCTTATCTCACCAATATTTCCTAATATCTTCAAGACATTGCAAATATTCATTAGAAAGATGAGCTTTTAAAGTTTCCAGTTTACTCCTTTGTCATTTTCTTTTACAATGATAATAAGTTGCAGGATAGTATCCATCATTTTTTTCATTGCTCATTATAAAGTATTCTTATATTTCATTTTTTTAGGACCACCTTTTTTGTTTGTTTTTTGTCATTTAAAAAGGTTATTTTCAGTATCACTAATGTGCTTTCTATTTTTCTTCATAGTTAATTTTTTTGAACGTGATAAATGAAAAATAAGTTAAGTAAAAAAATATGAATTTAACAAAAATTTACATTTTATTTTATATATATTTGAATAATATTCTTAACTATTGACTTTTTATACTAATTCACATGCTTATTATTATACTAACTTTTACAGAATTTACCTGTAGTTTCACAAGACTTTATGCTAGTTACAGCAAACAGTTATGATAAATTACACTAATTATGGTAGATAACACTAGTTATGACAAATAACACTAGTCATAGTAAATAATACTAGTTATGGTATATAACAATATCATATTGTCATATTAACTTGTATGTAAAGATTAAAAACCCTATGATACTAATATGTCTGCACCCTTAATCATACTATCTTTTATATTTTACTTTAGTTAGAAAATTATATTCTTTACTTTGTATCTTTTATTTTTGTTAATATTATCTTTTAAAAAATATTTTTATAAAAGGTTTTATACTTTCTTAAAAATACATTTATTTTTCCTTTTTTTCATATTTTGCACAAATTTCAATGCTCATTCACAAGCTAATGACCAAAGTAAAAATTGTGAACTATAAATAAAATTATATATTAGTTTATCATATTAGGTAAATTTCTAATTATTAGTTTATATATTTTAAATTTAATATTTTTTTTATCTTTGATTGAATTTTTACCTTTATTTAAGCAGAAATTATAGGTTGAGAATAGAATTAATAAATAATTATATTTTCTAAGACTGATATAAAATTCAAATATCACAAATACAAATAATAATTTAAATTTATCTTTTATATATCTAATATTTATCTGTATTTATATTCCTTAGAATTTCAGTTTTTTTTTTTTTACATATTTCTTTTTATTTTTTATTATTATAATTCCTGTATTATATATTGAATCAGCTATTTTTCAATAATTATTATAAAATAGTTCTAAGTAACCAATTAATATCTATAAATACTATATTATTTGATAATAGAATTCTAAGTTTTTCAGTTTTTCAATTATTTTTGATTGTAATTTTTTCAGGTCTTTTAAAAAAAAGTTATTTAAATATTAAGTTTTACAATATTTTTCATTTAAATATAACTAGCATATTCCCTATTAAGTAGCCATAAACATTCAAACTCATTTGATATGCTAGATAATTTATTTTTTTATTTGTTTTATTAAATTTTATAAAAAAAATATTTAGTCATTAATTATATTATAATTAGAAAATGTTATAAAAATTTGATTAGATAAATTTTCTAACTGTATACCTTTTTTTCTGATTCCAGATTAGATATTAATATTTCATATATTTTAGATATTGCATCTTTAATATCTTTGTCAGATGATATATTAAATACATGTTAATTGATAACATATACGATTTATTTAAATATAAAATAAGCCATTATTATATGAAAGATTTGCTAGAAAAATAGGACTTTAAGAATTTTTTATTAAAATTTTAATTTTTAATAATATTAGATTAAAATGCAATAAAAATTAAAAAATATTTAGAGCCCTATTTTCCTAGCAAATTTCACATATATTTTCAAATAGATAGATTTATTATAAATAGACCTAAGCATAATCATTATTTTAGATTATTTGTTATATCAATCTGATCAATATTTTAAAATCATTATTAATTTTATATTGTGATAATAGTCTCTATTATTTGAAATAATGCTAAATTCATTTTGTTTTTTTTTATAGATTCAATAATAGTATAGAGACTAGATATAATAAACTAAGTATTCTAATATAGATCATTAGACCAATAATTTAAGAAAATCATTTTGTGAATATAAACTAATATTGAATGAAAAGTTCAGTATTTTTTTCTAAAAAATTGTTTCTTATTTCTCTTACACTTTTGGATAATATTTTCATTTTATAAATTATAGTAATAAATGCATATTTTTATTTAATTCTAATTACATTATGTATTTAAATACACTTTTCTTGTCTGATATATAAAATAATATAGGAGGTATTTATAATACTTATCCAGTTTAACATGTAATGTAAATGGAATATCCATTTTTAATACATATAAA